TATTGTTTTCCTTTCGCGGACCCATCGCGCATCTTTCGCGGACACTCTATTTCACGTGTTAAAACCGTTTTATATAATCCCCACACAAGGACCTTTAGATCAATGCTCATATGTCAATACAGTCAATACAGCAATACAGTGTTGCCCAAGCATCCACATGCGCCAACGACAGAAACCCCCCGAAATGATTCCAGGTGTGAGCTCCAGCTTGTAGTGAAAAGCACTCCGGCGTGTTGAAAGTACAGAGTCTATGGCGGTGGCTATGGGAACCCGATCAGCCTTCAAGTTGCGAGGCACAGCTGTCTCAATAAAGTAGCTGAAAACATCTGAAAACACTTGCACCGAGGCAGATGACAACCGCAGCTCAGCGTGGATCTTGGAGGAATCGAGTACTTCGAGCACCACTTATGATCATTGTTTCAAGTATGGCTGCTAGTATCAGCGTTTCTGGGCTCACAGCTCCTATTATTACAGCTACAGCGAGATCGCAACGGTTACACCGTTACCAGTTGTACTGCATATCGCGAATCGCGCCTCTCTGCGGCGGCCTCCGTGCTGGCGGAGCTTTCGCATCGCTCGAACTTGTGCTTCGCCGCCTGCCACTCCACGCAGCGATGTCGCAAGCAAGCCGTGTCTCGATGCAGATCGCTGCGCTACGGAAATGTGTGCAAGAGCTCGTGGGGCCAGGAGCTGGACAATCCTGCACTGCCCTGCACCTCCACATCTGCGGAGAAGCGGCTGGTAGTTGGCTGCTGCCTAGCAAAGCATTCGTCCAAGATGCTACACAGAGGCCAGCCACTGTACCCGGTAATTAGATGAGACAACCAGGGTGCTCCAGGATTTCGGTGGAGGGAACCATGGTCTTCCTCATCACGACGGCAGAAGAGCTGTGCAGAATTATGCGACCTCCCGGAAGCCTCAAACCGCTTCAGGCGCGTCACTAGCGGAGCTGGGGCTCTGACAAATGACACCGGTACTCCGGAAGACAGCAAACTGGGGGGTCTCAAACCAATATGTTCGAGCCGGAACTGCGGCCATTCCGGCTTTGCCTGGCTTTGGAACCGGATGATGTTTCGCGCTCTTATCCACCACGACACACGACGACAAGAGCTTTGCAGTGAAGGACTCGTCTCTGAGACTCCAGCTCCACAAGTCTTGCGTGATCATGCCTCAGTCATTTTCTTTGCAGACGTCAAGGTTCCCCAATGCTCCAAGCACGGAACTCGAGACCTTGTTTGGTCATGCCCAAAAGGCTCCGTCCCTCTTCGAGGGCCGTGCGTGTCAGGGAGCAAGTCTCCCGTCGCCTCCGTAGTGATCCGCTCCTGGAAGCGGTCGGCTCCAAGCCCTTCTGAGCGCTAACCCTGTGCCACCGTGGGGTGCTGATGAGACTGTTGTGAAATGGTATACATGGCCCTGGGCTGTCGGACTTCGATAGTTCTGGTGGACCCTCACAGTCCAAGGTCGAGATGGTTCTGAAACAAGTCCCGCTCAATGCCTTCAAGCAGAACCCAATCAAAACAAACGGCTCGAGCCCGAAACCAGTCACTACATATGACCCTAGCTCGCCTTACCCGTCTTGATCCGACACCCTCCTGGCACTAGAATGTCCCACAGTCCTACAAGTCTGACTTTACAAGTAGGTCCTCCCAGCTTGAAGCGGTTCGCACGGATGCCGCCCCCGAAGGTGCCAAGTCGGTGGCCTGTGGCATTGGGGCTCTGCAGTTTCAGTTTCGGGCACTTCGGGTTCAGGGTTTGGCGTTCAGGGTTAGTGGGGCGTTCCGGCTTTTGCGTTTGGAGGACTAATCCTTAACTTTGGACTAGGGCGGAAAACTCGAGCCTCAACAAAGGCCTGTACTCCTCATGAAATACGCTTCGGCAGCCCTGCTTTCGGATCCAAACCTCCAAGCCTCAAAGCCTATCAATCCGTGGCTCGGGGATGTCCTGTCCTCGTCGAGCAAGTCGGCGGCAGCAGCCGCACCCAACCGTGCGGCCTCCTCAGAGCCCACAGAGGCAATGCCTGGGCAAGGAAAAACTGTGGGAAATTCACGCAAAGCGCATGGCCCCCCTTGTCGACACTGTCAAACTGGCTGGAAACATCCCGAAGTGCATCCCTCTGGGCTCAGAGCTTTCAGGAAGCCCGAAGCCAGAAGGCCTCTGCGCAGCATTTACACGGTACGGTTGCAGTTCGTTCAAACCCCAACACCCTCCTTCAGACCCCAAATGTTCGAGTACTTTTGCAGCTGTGGCAGTTCGATTGCCTGCCTTATCACTAAAGCTAGAGGCTGCTGAACCGGGCAGGTTTACTCGTCGGATCTCTTAAGAAGGCCTCCTGCCAGGTTCCAGCTCGAGCGAAGGGCGCAGTACTTCTTCGTAAGCGGCTCGCACCGCGGCCTGGCATTGCAAAAACACTGCCCGGCTGCATGCCATCCCGCTGCTACATGTATGCCAATGCGTGTCGATGTTTATGGTTGCCGCCTCTGCGGCCTCGGAGCAGGTCGCCGAGGCAATGACGCTGACAACACCGGGCTCGAGACCTACGGGCGAAGCTCCACCGGGACTCCAGCAAGACCTCTGTATCTGCTTCGTTCCAGTCCCGAAGCGCCTGGGGAGGCTGGTCGATCTCGATGCCTTGCATCCTTCCCCCCACGGGTGGAGCAGAATCGGTGGGTGCTGGAGAACCGCTTCCGGTTCCGCCTCCCCTCTCGGCTCTGTCTCGGAGCTGCCCTGCTCGACCTGCAGATAAACAGTCTTTAGCCAGTACGTCTACTAAATATGAAAGGTGACATGATCAGATTGTCACGGGTTCCAAGACTGCCGTGCTCCAGCTTCACAACTTCAGCACTGCGCCACGAAGCCAGCAACAAGGTCCACAAGTCAGACTGGCTCTGTCCGAAACAGGTGTGGGACGTTGCGCTATCCTACCTACCTACCACTCACCTACTGTACCCACCTACCCTACCCCTAACCAACAACGGCCATAAGTGTGATAGTTTGAGACTTACTAGCAATGAGAGGTGGTGGTGGTGGTGGTGGTGGTGGTGGTGGTGGTGGTGGTGGTGGTAGTACCAGTAGTAGTAGTAGTAGTAGTAGTAGTAGTAGTAGTAGTAGTAGTAGTAGGAATAGCAGTAGTAGAGGGAGGAGGACAAGGAGCAGGAGCAGGAGCACGGTGTTACCACGGGGCCAGGAATGTAACTTCGGAAACCGTACTGGGGACAGCCTCTGAGGCTGGACCAGTCATACTCGGGAGTGGCATGGCAGCCTGCAGCAGAACACCAGATACACTGCACCATCGCTGGTTGCCCGGCCACCTTACCCCGAACATCTGCAAGCGCTCTGCCTCCAGAACATCAGCCACCACCTGTGCGTCTGCGGCCTGCACAAACGTAAGAGGCTGAGTGCATTCGCAGCTAGAGAACAAGGCGTGCAAGCATCGCTTTGCACAAGTCATCTGCGGGGTCCTCGCCCATTGAAGACAACGGGTGGCTTCCTGTGCCTGTAAAGTGGCATTCGAGAGAGTGCTTCCTGCAAGCTCACTCGGAAGCGTCCGACCTGCGCTAGGCGGTCGCAGTTGAACCCTTTCCTGCATCGTCACTCTCGTGCTCGACTCTCCAACTTGGGCACTTGAGATACGTAGATCTGACAGCAGGCTACTGCAGCTGCCTCTGTCCACTAGCTACAATCGCGTCCTGCACTGACTGATCAGCATCTGCCGTCGGCTCAATGATGATGGTGGCCTCGACAATGGGCGACCATCTTTCGTGCCACTACCAGGCTAGGGACGCATCTATGCGCTGTCAGAGATTCAGGTTCCCGAAGTTTCGGGCACTGTCATGCAACTTCCGGACAACAAAATCCGCTTTCCCTCAGCCTGGGTTGGTGTTACCACGGGGCCACACCCAGGTGGAGACAGAGCCAAAAGCTAGACGTTTGTTCGCCGCTGCCTCTTTCTATTCAACCCTCTAACTCAAAGGAATGTAACTTCGGAAACCGTACTGGGGACAGCCTCTGAGGCTGGACCAGTCATACTCGGGAGTGGCATGGCAGCCTGCAGCAGAACACCAGATACACTGCACCATCGCTGGTTGCCCGGCCACCTTACCCCGAACATCTGCAAGCGCTCTGCCTCCAGAACATCAGCCACCACCTGTGCGTCTGCGGCCTGCACAAACGCAAGAGGCTGAGTGCATTCGCAGCTAGAGAACAAGGCGTGCAAGCATCGCTTTGCACAAGTCATCTGCGGGGTCCTCGCCCATTGAAGACAACGGGTGGCTTCCTGTGCCTGTAAAGTGGCATTCGAGAGGGTGCTTCCTGCAAGCTCACTCGGAAGCGTCCGACCTGCGCTAGGCGGTCGCAGTTGAACCCTTTCCTGCATCGTCACTCTCGTGCTCGACTCTCCAACTTGGGCATTCTGGCTGCATCTGTCCGCTAGCTACAATCACGTCTTGAGACATTCTGCAATGAATGCATTTCTTGTGCAGGAGCGGTGCAGAACAACTTTCCAGGAGGTTGAGCACAAGCCATGCTTAGTTTTCTCAGCCGATGATAGTGTTACCAATAGATGCCGAAACGAGGCCTGAGGCATACTGAGACAACTTCGAAAACGGTACTGGCAGCAGCCTCGGAGGCTGGACCAGTGGTGCTCGGCACTGGCAGGGCAGCCTGCAGCAGGACACCAGGTGCGCAGCACCATCATGCATCACGATGAAAACATCCACAGGTCCTCAACGAGTGAAGATGCCGGGAAGCTCCTTGTGCCTGCAAGTGGGCATTCGAGAGACTATTTCCTGCAGTGCGCTCGGAAGTGTCCTGCCTGCACTGGGCGGCCGACCTTGCAGCCCTTCCTGCGTCATCAGGCTGTTAACAGTCACACTACAATATATCCTGCATATTATGCATATGTGCCGGCGTACTTTCTGACTATCTGCATCTTCAGGTTTCTGCTTGCCAGCATAGCGTCCTGGACTGACTGAAGGGCAGCTGTCGCATCATCATCTGCCGTGGCCTGCAACCACTCAAAAGCATCATACCTTGCTTCGCTGATCCGTGCTCGCGTGTCTGGCAGCTAACACTTGACGGACGACGGAGAGTGGCATAGTCTCGCAGCAATACTGGTCAGGCCAAACGCACCTGGGACATCGCCACAGATGATGCTTCTGGCGGAGTTTCTGCAGCAGTGCAAGCAGCATGCACGAGCTCCTTCTCGGGAATCGGATCTGCTGGGAATTCGTTTGAGAAGCGTGTCCGTGTGCTGACGAAAGCAGTGCAGACTGCAGATGTTGGCACATCAAGAACATGTCTAGAGAGCTGTGCATGCAGCTTGACATGGGGCGGTCCGCGGCGAGATCCAGCTCTGCCGTCCCGACTGACGTGAGACCTAGCCGTTTCTCACGCACACCGTGTGCGACGACCGCCGAAGGCAGCTTCGCAGAGCAAGCTTCGAAGAGTTTCTGAAGTCAAACTGTGCATGGCGACCTGCGCTGGGCGGTCGCATCTTCAATCTCTCCTGTCTCAAAGTTCAGCGGCACGACAGCAGCACATCTCGGGCTTGACGGAGAAGTTCTCTGGCTGCGAAGTCCTTCAAGGACTGAACCATCGCGGCTGCATCAACATCTTCCTTGACCTGCAACAGGCACAGCTCGTCAACAGCAAACGTTGAGACGGCAAGGCATGTCCCCCCTGTCGGCAAAAGGTAAGGCAGCTCGACAAAAGACCTTGACAAAACAAAGCTCACCGACAAAAAACGGGCGAGTAAAGCAGGCGCTGAAGAAAGCTTTCTCTCTCGTCGGCCGCACGATCAACTGCAACACTCGCCCGCACTACCTACCTGTTATCATGACCAAACCAAAGATCCCCCAACAAAGAGGCACGGGAGCCTGCTTGGGAGCGGCGGGGGGAACCTGTCACACAAGATCACACAATTTTCCCGCATCCGGTCTGCTGGCACTTACAGATTCATCTTCGAATCTTCGATGTTCTGCTGCAGAATCCCCCTGTTCCAAAAGCTGCAACGTCCGAACTCCGCCTAGCGTCTGCCCTAAACTACGAGGCCTCAGAAGAAGGTGCTGCATCCGCTACCTGGCCACGCGCACATGTTTCTGAATGCTTGGGCAACTTTGTGGGTCTCCGATGGCTCCTGATCGTCTCCTCCCAAAGCCAAAAGCAACATGGAACACTGGAAAAGGTCGGCGTCCTTCTCCGTGCCATGCCATGCCGGAAGATGCTGTAGTCACGCCCCGTTTTTGTGTTGACTCTGTCGATGGCAACGGCACCGAATGTGGTAGGGAGAGCAGAGATCAACCTCATAAACGTGCATAACTATTTTTGTTGAAACCCAGGACTCGCAGTAATTGTAGATCTTGGACCTGGGAATGTGTCCTACGCTCCCGTCCACAACCCCCTCCTCCCTGAAACGCCCGCCGCTGTGGCCTCGCTCAGCAGCTTTGCGGCAGCGGCCTGACCGACTCGCGCCGAATCCTCAGAGCCCATGGAGCCAATGCCTAGGCGAAGTCTTTGGTTTAGGGCTTAGGGTCTAGATGGGTTCAAGTTGGTCTTCAGCTGGTACAGTAGGGTCCTATTCTTCATGTGGGATACCAGGCCCAGAAGCCCATGTCAGGGTCTTGCTACCATGAGTCTGTGATCATGACATGGTACATCGCTCACACCATGTCAAACGCAGGGAATCAGCTACCGTTTGCTGCCGGTGATGTATCGTCAACGGTCTGCCGTACAAGAATGCCCCGTTCCAAGACGCAGTTTCGAGGTGGAAGCTGCAGCCCAGCAGATGTCATTCTGCATCACAAAACCCCTACACCGAAAGCTAGATCCAACTCTCGCTACGAGATGTCTGGCCACCACCGGCCAGAATTGAATGCACAGCGGTGTTCCGAAACGAGGAGGATTCCATAATTACAACACAACGATCTGCATGGCACCGAATCTCTACTCTACCGCTTGCCAATCCGGCTGAACCAGTTCCTACGGAAGCACCTCCGATGTCCAGGGCTGGTCTGGGCTCAATGCTCTCAACGGCATCCAAGCGAGACGGCCTCCACACAGCGCTACCGAGGCCTCTGAGATCCTCTCAGCCTCGCTTTCCACCAGAAACGACCTCTGAAGTTCAAGCACCCCGACCCTTTCTGCACTTATGACATGTATTTTGTCTCCGCGCCATGCTTCTTCTAGCTTCTTCTATCGCAACAGGCTACATCTCGTACCTCTGACAAAGACTGTGGCTCGAAAGCTCTTGAGCGCCTTCTGTCGGCTTCGAGCTGGTGGCAGGGAAGGACCTCTTCGTAAGCAGCTTGCATCACCGCCTGACCCAAACAGACTGTCGTTAGCTTGAATCGGGTGAGCTGGGAGGTGGTCCAACTACTGATATCGTTGACACGCCTGCAAGCCTGCTGACATGCTGCCAGCTGCAGCGAGTCAAGCTGCAGCTTGCTGAAGGTCGTGTTTGTCGCAATGGCTCAGATCGACCCTGCCCCAGGCCCCCGCCTCTGCTGCTTCGGAACAGGCCGCCGATGCAAGCACGCTGGCGACGTCGCGGTCGAAACCTGCATGGCATCCGCACCCACTTAAAACCCATAAGTGCCTGCGAGCTTCGGCCGGTATCCTCAGCATTCTGCAGCCACCCCTTCTGAAGCGCCTCCTGAACTAGGTCGATCTTGCTCGGCGACATCCTCACAGCAGAGCTTCGGGTAAGGGCGGAGCTCTACGTAGTGCCCTGTGCAGAGCTGCTTCCGCCTTCGCGCTGGGCTGCGTCTCGGAGCTGCCGAGTTGAACCTGGATTCGACACTTAGATGTGTCACTTCAGCAAATGTTCGTGATCATTCGTGTGCGGCTACCAGTGACAACAAGGCAGTCTGTCATGCCTGGGCGTAACACACACGGCATGTACGTTTTCCGTGCCTCGCAACACTAAACCCACCAAAGCCCGCGCCCAAACCTCCCCTGCTTAAGCACGTAGCCTCACGCAGAAGCTTCGCAGCGGCTGCCGCACCCAGCTTCGCTGCTTGCTCAGAGCCCACGGAGCCAATGCCTGGGCAAGGTGGGATGGAAACTGGCGGGTGCCTGCTCCTTCTCCCGCAACTCGCGCAAAGCCAGGCTCAGAGCCACCGCGGACAGTCTCGGGTAGGTTTTAGGATTTTAACCAAACGCCCCTACTACGCAGCACCCGGCAGAAGCGAAAAGCCGAGAGTGCGTGGGTGCGGCAATGTAAACTATGTAAACACATTACAGAAAGAAAAGGCGATGCGGTGCAGTGCAAACCTTCAACTCTGAGACGAGTGAGGACAGTGACGAAGTCCCCAAATGCGACAGAAGTGCTCAGAAGTGGGGCAAACTACAGTGAACCAGACTGGCTTCTTGGCAGACCCTTAACACAGCAATTCCACAGTGCCGCAATGATCTGGGCCCAAGGCTCTCAAGAGCATCCGAACCAGACGGCCTCCGCAGAGCACAGCAAGGTTTTTGAAGACAACCAACTCACGTCAGTCGTGAACAGAGGTTTTGATGCAACTGCTCTGTACCTTTGGGTGTCAGTCACGAGCAAGAACCCAAGAAGTGGATGACTTCAGCGCTGCGATAAGCTTGTTTCCTCCGGCCTCTGCATCTAATTTACTGTATCCGCAATCATCAACCCATCTTGTTTGTACCGAAAGCCCGGAAGCCTGCTGCCAGGTTCCAGATGATCGAGGGAAGGAAGGACTCCTTCATACGCCGCTTGCAGAACTGCCTGACGTCGAAGGCCGAACAAACCACATCGATCGCGATGGGAGCATGCCAATTCTTGCACTATAGCTGCTGAAGGTCGCTTCTCGCAGTAGCTCACATCCCCCAGTCCCCCACCTCTGCTGCTTCGGAACAGGCCGCCGATGCAAGCACGCTGGCGACGTCGCGGTCGAAACCTGCATGGCATCCGCGCCCACTGAAAATCGATAAGTGCCTGCGAGCTTCGGCCGGTATCCTCAGCATTCTGCAGCCACCCCTTCTGATGCGCCTCCTGAAGTAGGTCGATCCTGCTCGGCGACATCCTCACAGCAGAGCTTCTTGGCTCGGCACTCGGCCGAGACGTGGGGCAACTGTGGAGCTCTACATAGCGCCCTGTGCAGAGCTGCTTCCGCCTTTGCGCTGGGCTGCGTCTCGGAGCTGCCGGGCTGCGCCTTCAACTCAAATCAGGGACTCGGAGAGGGCTGCTGCTGCTGTTAAAGGTCGGCATAAGCGAGGTGTTCCGCTTCCGACTTCAACTCACAACAACTCGCGTAATGCCCGGCGTTTGGGCAGCACTGGGCAGTGCTACCCGAGTACAAGATGGTGCTAATTACTTGTCGTGGCTGCTTTTCACCTTCCTCTTGAGACCCAACGCACTCACTTTGGTTCCGCCCCATATGCCCAGTCTCAACATGAGAGCAGGGTCACAACTTCAGATGACTGCTGTTCCTCTCCTCGATATTCACCCCTGCCGCGATGCGGAGCTGCTGCGCTGCTCGGCTGGCCTCCAGCAGAAGCTTCGCAGCGGCGGCCGCACCCAGCTTTCCTGCTTCCTCAGAGCCGGAGCCAACGCCTGAGTGAGGCAATTTTGGGGGGAAGCCCCCTTCCTTTCCGTCCTGTCCTGCAGCTAGTCTACAGCAAGCTTGGCAACATCTCACGCATACACACACACAGTGGACACACACACGCACCAGCGCAGACAGACTATCGGCCATCGCTCCCTCTTGGCGTGGCATGTGGCAGAGTGTCTAGCACAGCTCTGCCTGTGGAACTCTAGCTTGCAATGAGTGGCTGATCTGAGCTCAAGGCTCTCAACCGCATCCATGCGAGATGGCCTCCACACGAAACGAACTTTCTCGGGTGTTTCCATCTCTTTCTGCTTGAGTTTTCCAAATGCACATTTCTGTCATTTGCGACACAGGTCTTTCCATCTCTTTCTACAGTAGGTGGTTCCGCACAGAAGCTTCTGTCTTGTCAGATCAAGCCCAATTCTGTGCAATTCTGGCCATCTCTTTCTGCTTTAGATTTCCGCAGGTAGGTTTTTGTCATATGTGAGATCAACACAAGAAATGTTTATGAGGCTTCTCGACACTGCCGCTTTGCTGGATCATGCTGCTGTGACACTGCTGATGGGGAACCGACCCGGCCCCGCAGCAGTGCAACTGTCAATGACTACGGCCCACAGGCGGCTGGCCAGGTGTCGGCCTGACTCCTACAAGTATCTTCTTAGATCTGGCCAAAGGTGATTGCGATTGCGAAGGAGGCCCACTTTCTGTAATTTTCTGCAAACAGTCACAGCAGTTGAAAACCCCACTCACTGGCTCGCTTGTTAGTCTATGCATTGTTGGCTGGTACAGACTGGTTCATTCGTCTCCCTGGGCTCGTGTCTCTGCAGGCAGAGCGCTTACAGCGAGAGCCTCCTGTCGGCTTCGAGCTGGAGGCACGGAAGGACCTCTTCGTAGGCAGCTTGCATCACCGCCTGCACGCCGATATCTTTGACACGCCACGGTTTGCTGAAGGTCCTTTTGTCGCAATAGCTCAGATCGGCCCTGCCACAGTCCCCCACCTCTGCTGCTTCGGAACAGGCCGCCGAAGCAAGGACGCTGGCGACGCTGCGGTCGAAACCTGCATGGCATCCGCACCCACTGAAAACCTACTATAAGTGCCTCCGAGCTTCGGCCGGTATCCTCAGCATTCTGCAGCCACCCCTTCTGATGCGCCTCCTGAAGTAGGTCGATCCTGCTCGGCGACATCCTCACAGCAGAGCTTCTTGGCTCGGCACTCGGCCGAGACGTGGGGCAACTGTGGAGCTCTACATAGCGCCCTGTGCAGAGCTGCTTCCGCCTTTGCGCTGGGCTGCGTCTCGGAGCTGCCGGGCTGCGCCTTCCAACACGAGAAACCCGTGCTTCCCGAGAAACGAACCAGCTATGCTTCTCGCTAAAAAAACTACAGGTTTTCTGAAGCCCGACAGTCAGAGCAGTCGAGGAAGCGTCCTGGCTGTCCGATGAGATCCACAGCTCCAACTTCAAGCAATGTTTCTCCCCTGTTCGGCGCATTGCGCTTGGGGAAGGTCCCGCCTGCTTCACATCTTCGACAACTTGGAGTCCGTCCATGAGTGACTGGGCAAGGTTGTCCATCATTGCCAACCTCGGGAAGGCTCTCTGGTTCAACGGGACGCAAGATTGGAACAACCTGGCACGAAACCACTTGCGGTCCAGCAGCAACTCCTGTGATCTCGGAGGCTCAACTAGCACCGAAGCCTCGAAAAAGGGCAGCTCTTATCCAGATCTTCCCAGTACTTGGGGTTTCAAGAGGGTTTGGGCTTGGTTTGGCGTAGGTTCACTGCTAAAATCTCGGGTCGAGGATGGCAGCCCCAGCCGACGCCTCCGATGCCGGATGAGACGTGATTGGCAGTGGCACGGCGGCCTGCTTTGCGAAGGCTGCGGGGCTGAAAAGTTCGAATCGAAAGCTTGGTTTGGATGATTTTGGATGTCTGCTTTTCAGCAGCCGGGTCTGCAACTACGGAATGATCGGTCTTGCAAGCTAGCGGCGGCATTCGGTTCAGACTGATGCATTCAACTGAAAGCTCTCTATTTAGCACCTGCAGGTCCTCGCCCAGTGAAGATGCTGGAAAGCTTCCCTCTGTGCCTGTGCAAGCGCCAGGCTCTGAGCTGGAACGAGCAAGTCAGCTGCAAGGACTGAGAGAAAGCGGCTGCCAAACTTTGCCCCGCCGGCACTGAGAGGTCGAACCCCGAGTCTCTCCTGCACGCGCGCGTCTTCCGGCGGCAACTTGGAGCAAGTTGGAACTTCTGCTTCATCAGACGACATGCTGCAAGACTACCGCTCGCAGAACCCGGTGTCCAACCATACATGTCCTTCAAGGCAGACACCATCACCGCCGCATCAACAGCTGCCGAGGCCTACGACAAAACTCTTACAAGAATCAGCTGTTGGAAGCCCGCTGTTTCGAAAGCTGCAGCACGACAAACTGAATGTGCCTGCGAGACCACCACCGACAATGCTTCCTGTGGAGTATCTCCCGCTTGGCACGCAGCATGCACGAGTTTCTTGTCGGGACGAGGGAACAGTTTCGAAAGCGAAACTTGTTGGCTCGTTGGATCGTTGCTGCTGGCATTAGTTAGTAATCAGGCTGCCTCTCACTCTGGCAAACACACAACTCTGCACTGCACTCATGTCTGACCTACGTGCCAAACATCTTCTCCGCGCATTGGTTCAGCTTCGGAAGAGCTTTCGTGACTGAAGAGGAAGTCCTTGGCCAAGTCCAGTTCCGCAGACCCCGTTGAACTCTGACCTGTGCCGGCATCCATGAAGCCATGACCGGAAAGACTGTAAGGAAAGCTGTTGGTAGACTTCTGATAGACCATGCAACCAAATTCGACAGCAAGAAATCCTACTTCGAGCCCCACATTCTAAGGTCTCGCTGGCAGGTCTTCTGCCTGCGCTGGGTCGTCGAGCATCCAATTTCTCCTTCATCACAACTCCGGCGCTGACACGGGATGTTGAGAAGACAGCACTGACGCCTGCAACGAGGCCATCATCTCCGTCGCATCCGCCGCTGCCGAGGCCTTCCAGCACCCACTAAGAGTGGACTTGAGACAGTCTGGGACATCGGACCATCTTCTCCAGTCTCTAGCAACTCTAGCAGGCAAACTCTGCCATGAGGAGCTGGATCTGCCTGGGAGACCACCACGGACACTGCTTCCTGCGGACTGTCGCCAGCATAGCAGGCAGCATGCACCAGCTCCTGGACAGTTCGCTGTAGTCATTGACTGCTGGGAAGGGCAGACTGTACGGAAAAGTGGTTGAATTAGACGGCAAAAAAAAGAACCTCATCCCAAAATCAGACAGTCTGATGACGCACCACGGAACTTGTCTCACGGAACTCGAAAGGAAATTTGAAAAGACGGATTGGAGATAGTAGCCAGACTGCAATGCAAGGCAGTCCGTGGCCAGGTCCAGTTCCGAAGTACGCGCCGACGTCTGACCTGCTCATGTCTCTGCAGCAACAGGGCAAGCAGTGAGCCCCACGAGTGTGCACGCAGCTTCCGGAGCAAAGGGCGTTCAAGCACAGACGCGCCATGACGCGCCTGAAGCTCCGCTCCGAGGGGTATCCCGTGCCTGCCGTGCTTTTCTCGCAGGAAGCGGCACTCTCTCCAGGCTACGCTCGGCCTCCTCTGCAGGAGGCGAAGGCTCGGTGGCGACAAGCGCATGCATTTCCTGCATCTCCTCCTTGCAGCGGAATGGCGTGGCAGCTACACATAGCTACACGGAACAATGCAGCAAAAGCTGGGAATGTCCAGATCTCATTCGCTTCTCCCCACCTGCTCGGGGGCCAGCGTGGCCACCTGCTGTCAGCCATCTAGGCTGCCAAGCATACAAAAAGCTAGCCGATAATGGAACGGGAAGGGCGCTAATTCCCATTGCCATGTTTCTCAATGCACCGTTGCCAGCCTCTGCGGCATCGTCCTCCACGTGGCTCTTGCTAGGAAGATCTGCCAGACCCGCCGTCAGCGAGGCAGCCAGCACATTCATCTCAGCATGCCTTGGCCGTGATCGCGCTCTTTGCGCCCTCACCCGCATCGAAAGGCAGCCGAGCTGCAGCTCGTCCTGCGACTTTGGAACCTGCTCGAGGAAAATGGTTGCCTGCCAACACGACTTCTACCAGACGACCCGCCCACACAATCCCGCACTCTCTTCGTGAGCCCGCTTGGCATGCGACGAGCGCAATGCCTCCGAAGCTGGACTCGAAGTGCTTGCCGGTAACAAGGCCTCCGGCCACCGAAATTCACATCTGCTACATCCAACAGTCAGCATCACAGCGTTGGGATGGGTGCCTCCGCTTCGGGATCGCCGTCTGCCCGGTCTTCACCGGACGAAGCATCTAAGCCAGCCGTCAGCGAAGCTGCCAGCACATCCATCTCCTGAAGCCTCGGCTTGCGTCTGCATCCACTCAAAGCGCGGCAGGAGGGCAGGGCAAGAGCACATCCCCAAGCTGGCCCAAGAGCTAACCATAGTCTGCCGATTAAACAAAATAGCGTTCAAGTGGCAGTTCCTCCTTTGTCTTGGGGATGTGCTCCAGGAGAACAGTTGCCTGCAAGAAACGACGAATCAGCACATGACTCCCCACTCAAAGAACAGTCATGCCTCCGAAGGTGGACCCGATGAACGTTCTGGAACTGGGGCCTCTGGTTGCGAATCCGTCAGAAGCGCATCCAACACACAGACGTACCGCGAACAGAGCTGCTCAGCTGCAAGGAAGTGCCGCCACTCCTACAAGAGCATGGGTGCCTCCGCTTCGGGATCGCCCTCTGCCCGGTCTTCACCGGGCGAAGCATCTAAACCAGCCGTCAGTGAAGCTGCCAGCACATCCATCTCCTGAAGCCTGGGCTTGCGTCTGCATCCACTCGCGAGAATGCATCCCTACCGGCCGTCACTCACAAACGGCATTCAAGCGGCAACTCGTCCTTCGTTTTGGGGATGTGCTCCAGCATGATGGTCACCTGCAACGAACAGTCATACGTCTCTCGACACAGCTCCGACAAGTCACCGACTTGTAAAGCCTCGGAAGGTGGACCCGACGGTCGACTGAAGCCAGGCTCGAGTCCGTCTGTCAGCGAAACTGCCAGGACGTCCACCTCTTCCAACCTCGGCACGGCAACAACAGTCACTCGCCACTCGGCATTGAAACGCACCACGGCTTGCCGCCCAGTTGCAGCTCCTCCTTCGATTTCGGAAGGGGCTCGGCCGGGATGGTCGCCTGGAAAGAAGACCACTGTTAAAGGTCGCAAGTAAGACAGGCAAACAGTCTTCTCGGCACGTTCGGTTGCAGTCTCCGACCTCGTCCACTGAAGATGCCGGGAAGGTCCCTGTCACGCCACAAAGATCATCAACGTTCATCCATTAGGTCTGGTAAGGCTCTCTGCGACAATTCCGCTTCCAAAGAGCCGGCCTGCGTCAAGTGGCCGAGCAGCCAGGACCTCCTTTTTATCATGAGTATTAGGCCTTAGGGTTAGAGCCTGCTAAATTAGGCTTGAGGGATGTTTAGGGTGCTTAGGGTCTTGTGATTTCGGGTGTATTAGTGTCTACCACCCACTGGAGCCAAAGATGCAGCTCAGCAGTCCTCCGGACGAATCCGGGCGGCATCCACGGATTCCGTCGCCTGCAGCACACAGCAGGCCGACCACCAGTCGTCTATGATCATCATACAGAACTAGAACTCGTAGAATCCTCAGCTGCGACGCCCTGAAGCTCAAAATCGGACCTTCCAAGAACTCCGTAAAACACTAGGAAGTCGTGCCAGCGAATGAGAAATGGACTGCAAACCAAAAGTGTTTGGAAGATTGTGATCATTCGCCTCGGCCCCGGCCGAAGCGGTCAGACGTTCCCAGAAGGATTCCTAGCTGCTAGAGGGGCCCCTGACCTCCCCCCCTCGCAAAATTGGATTTCGGGTTGGCAAACCCTACGTCCGGAGATTCCGCCAAGCCCACCCCTCCCTCCTCGTCTCTTGCTTGCGGCAAACCAACATGGGCTAGCTTACATCATTCGTGAAGCTGATGCCAAAGCCTGAAAATTCTGGGGCTGTGCCTTGCACTTCGTTGCAAAGCTTGATTCCCGTTCCAACATGGGAGATTGTATACGAGACGAGTGCGAGGTATAGTACGATTACATTCGTAAATCGCATCCTCAAGGCTACCGCAATCACTCGGCTCTCTTTTCCTTTCGCCAGGGGGGTCCTTCTGTCGAATTTGTGTTCGTACTCACAGGAAGTGCTTTGGTAAAACCCTCGGTGAAGCCTCAACCTCCGACTAGACAGGCAACTCCCGGCAGCCACATGAGGTCTCGAACCCATCCGATAACCCCACGAAAGATCGTCTCCGAAAAGGCTGGGAAAGTGGGCAAAGTCCTGCCGTTTTGGCTCAACTGCCAAGGATTGAACCAAAAGGGGCAGGACGAGCGATTACAAATGAAACATGTGCAACCAAGCCTGAAAATTCTCGACACATGAATATTATAGTAACATCTATGGGATGGTAAAAGGAATGTGCCACCTTTCGCGGGGGAATATTGCTCAGAGCCTCAGCATGAAAACAGATACTGACATTTAAAAAAACATTCTGAAGCAAATGCGCTTATTTTACTCAAGACCTCACCCGTGTGACCTACCCGTTGCTTTCCGAAACACCGCACCTGCTTCAAGTACAGCCGGGCCGAGGCAAACGACGCTTTCAAAAACAAAAGCAATTAGAGTAAGAAACACAACAAAGACAAAATTGCTAGTAGTATTACTGCATTTAAGACTGTCACATCCAGGGTTGCGTCAAAGTATACTCGGCAATGGTTGCTGCTTCCCAAAAACCTGTTTGCTGCCTCTGCCTGACTCGCGTCTCACTCTGACAAGTCCACTCTGCTCTCGGACTCTTTCACCAACTCCACCCCTCATTCAACTTCAGCGGTGCCTGCGATACCACCACGGACAATGCCTCTTGTGGAGTATCACCCGCTTGGCAGGCTGTGTGCACGAGCTCCTGGCGAGTGGGGTCTGGGGAGGAAAGCTCAGACTTCGCGCCTTGGGTCTTGCCGCGTAGCCTTCATCGCAGTAGGCATCGTCATATATCGTCATGCAATGTCATGCACCCAGCAATCCTTGGCCAACTCCAGTTCTGGCGTCCCTGCGGAAGTCTGGCCTGCCAAGACAACAACTGCTCGGATTCGCCGCGTGCGTGATGACTTTCGTCATGCACGGATCTTGGTTAGGCTGTCGGAGTGCAGACCGCCACTGTGGCTAACCTCAGAATTATGGTATTCAGCGTAGAGCTTCCTTTCTGCAGTGTCATGTCGCTCTTGATGCTCCGGAGATGCCGCCGGACATGCCAACACTGCACCGAACAGTCCACCCTCGCCTGCCCCCGCACCCTCCCGCAATTACAACAATCCCCGTGAACGGCTCCACGTGTCTGCACGCCTGAGGGACAGAGCGTCTTGTATTGAAGCGAAGTAATTGAGGTAATTGAGTCATAGAGCCACACAGCCCATTCAAGGCAGTCTGACGACAAGCCGCAAGCTCAAAAGCCACACCAGGTCTTCCACCTGCGCTCGGTGGTCGAACTTCCGGGCTCTCCTGATTCGCTTGACTGTTGAAGTTGAAAATCAACCAGCAGACTCTCCCAAGTCCTGCAAGGAGACAACCATCTCCGGTGCATCCATGGCTGTGGCCTGCAACCAGCCAAGAAAGACCAATCTAGCTGACATTGGAACCTCAATGTCATTGACGAGTAGCTAAGAAACAAAGTTGGCTGTTAATTACACTACATGCAATGCGCCCTTGCTGGCAGCAATCTGTGCTGCAGCAAGACCTGCCGAAGGTGCCTGCGACA